TCTTACTTTAACAGTCAAATTTTCTCTATTTCTTCCCTGCTCTTCCTGCACTGGGCCAGAAGTTAGACTCTACTGCTCTTTGTTTTAAACAGTACTGAAAATCTTATTCAACACAAAGTCTGGTTTTCTTCATTTTCTTATAGAATCAGTTTCTATTTTCTTGGGCTTTCTTCAACATTTTCCCAACAGTTTCATTATGAAACATGTCAAATACATTAAAACTAAAATCAACAAATTTGACAATGAGTATTCTATAGCCATCTCTGCAGTTCCCTTCAGTTTTACCCTACATACTTAACTTAAGCTCTCAATTTTGGATCAGTAACTCTTATTATCCCAGACTCTAAGGTCTACAGAAGGCTTTGGCTTTGGTCACTACCACTTTTCCATCATGTTTCTGAGACCCCTGAGAGTTACCCTTAATAGATTGTGTTCTTACGGCTGTTTTAGGGATTCTCCTTCAGCATGATATTCTATTATATCAATTTATTTGATCAACATTGCTTCCTACCATTCTAAGAACAATTCCCTCCATCCCCACAACCTGCACCGCAATGGTCAGCATCCCAAGGAGACCACCCTGCATTGAAAACTTAGTGAAAAGGATGAACTGTGCTGAAACAACTACAGCCATGATTTGGCTCTCCATAATAACCACTTCATATGTTTGCTGGCCACACAGGCTACAGACTCACAGATGGCAAGGAAACGGTGTGTAATAGCTCCCTTATGCATTCCCCGTCTCTGGCACAATAGGACACACATGCACATCCTTTGTGAGTTAGAAAAGAACACAGGGCATGTTTTCTGCAAGCATTTGCTAAACACCGGAGGACACAGGAGAACATGAAGCAAATGCCTGATGTTAAATTATGCATTATTTCTATTTCATGCCCCAATAAAACATCCCTTGCCGGGACTCCATGGATGTGACTGAGAAAAATGTCATGTAATGAAAGCACATCAAACTCAAACTGAGAGACCTGGCTTTCTTCTGGCTTCTAGCTATACACAGCTCTGTGCTTTACTTCTGTCACCATCTCTCTCTAGCACCTATTTCTCTCATCTATAAAGTACATGGGATATATAAATAATCCTTAAATCCCTGAAATCTATTATTTTGGACTCTTTTTCATTATTCTAAATGAATACTTTTGCTAAGATAGTACTGGATCTAGAAATCATTGAAAAGCCTGAAGAAAATTGAAAAAGACTCTTATAAAAATATTCACATTCTGCAGACAGTTTAAAATGCTAAACAAATTTTGTAAAGATTAAAAAAAATACTCATTAAACATACCCCCATGTACTTTATTAGAACCTATGTCACTGAAATTTTGGTGACTGTACCTTCAACCTGTCTTTGTCACAAATTCAATCTCATGATTATTACTTTTTAATTAATCTTTTAAAATTTTTATTTGAAAGTCACAGAGATAGAGGGGGGCGAGGAGAGAGAGAGAGAGAGAGAGAGACAGAGACAGACACACACACACACACACACACACACACACACAGAGAGAGAGAGAGAGAGAGAGAGAGAGATCTTTCATCCACTAGTTCAATCCCCAAATGCCCACAATAGCCAAGGCTGGGCCAGGCCAAAACCAGCAGCCCAAATTCGTTCTAGATCTTGCATCTATGTGGCCAAATCCAACCACTTAAACCATCACCTACTGTCTTTCAGGAAGCTGGAAAAGAGAGCAGAGCCAAGACTTGAACTCAGACACTCCAATATGGGATATGGGTATCCCAAGCCATATCTTAACTGTGCACTAAATGCCCACCTCTCATTATTACTTCTTTATCTTCTCGATTGTTTGAGTGTCCCACATGAAAACTAGATGGGCAAAGACCTCAACACAGCAAAATACAGCCCAGTCAGTCACCAGGGACAGGCCGGGCAGAATCAGGATCTAATCACGCAACTTGCAAATCAGAGAAAGGTGGCCTAGCTATTTTGTTTTAATTAATAAGGGACTCATATCCTCAGGAAATTTTACCTGTACCACATAAGCAAGAACATACGCAATTAACTATCTACATTAAATGAAAATGTCTCATTACCTAGACTAGATATGGTCTAATTAAAAAGTAAATCAAATTCAGACGGAAAAATAATTGCCACCAGGCATAACACGCTTATTTTAATTTGGAATCTGAGAAAGGGTACATGTACCACTGGAGGCATGAGCTTTACAATATAATCATAGAAAAAGAAAACTGGCTCAATATAATTGCTTAACTTCCACTACCTCGGTTTATGAAGAGAAGCATATTTTTACTGGAGTGTGAGTACAGAGCACTCAGTAGAACCATAAATTGCAGTACACGCCATTAAGAAGACCAATGCCAAGGCACTGATTATTAGATTGTAATCTTGACACAAGCAGTCAGCAATACAGTAACATCACCAGGAATTGGCTGGCGCACCGAGGACACTAGCAAAGAGAGCAAAGGACCTTGCATTGACATTTCTAAGTGCATCCCTAATTCTGCTGCAGATTAGAAAACCAATCAAAGGGGCAGCTTGGCCCTGGAAGCAGGAATGCCTTTGAAAATGCTAGAGCCACATGAGAAATCAGAGCTATTTACAGAGCAACTCTACCTGTGAACACACCACTTGCCCTCTCTGCACTGCTCTGGATCCCATAAAACACCGCTTTCTCCATCCCCAAGTGGACCCTGAGAAGCAGCTCCGCCAGTGATCTGAAGAAAAGGCACTAACGAAGCGACAGCATCAGTTTAGACACCCAGTGAATGGCAGCACGCAGATCTCTTTCCCACACACCAGGTTACCGCTACGCAAGGTTAAAAACAGGTCATAATTTCATTTAAATGTGGTTTATCATCCTTCCCTCCATTTTTTCCCTCTTCTTCATCAGTCACTCAAGAAACATGAAACAAACAAGGTCTACTTAGCAAGGTCTAATTAGTTCTTGGTGTTCTGAACATTACTTTCTGTGGTCATTATCCTCAGGGTAGAACACGAGAACGTGGAAACTAATGAAAGAACGTGTGCACATGGCCTTTGGTAAGGTGTCTGAACAGAAAAGCAAGCTCCAGGGACTCCTGCAGAAGGCAGCCCAACCAGGCAGGGAGACACACGTCTGAGGAACACTTGGCCGGATGTCACATTTGAAGAACACATTGCAAAGCAAGGGACAGAAAATGTTTAAAGCCATTCTCAGGTCACTACACGGTAGAAGGGAAGACAACACTCACTTTGGAAAGGCTCCCTGGTATCTGTCAGCCCAAGAGCATTTTAAACAACCAGGATTAGAACCAACAGCATGCTGGACAGGCAGTCTCTGCCACCACGAGAAATAACCAGGTTTCCCTCTTACTCAGTGGTATAGATTGGAACCAATGACCTCCAACAAAGTGAAACAGAGGCCAAGGAAAATTACCATTTCATTACACTCTTCTCTCATAACACTTGACCTCAATGCAGTAGATGACCTCATGCCAGGTAGCAGCATATCCTCCAGGAGAGCTCAGACGCCTCCACAGCCAGTGGACATCCAGAGCGGAGACGCCCCCACGGCCAGTGGACATCCAGAGCGGAGACGCTCTCATGGCCAGTGGACATCCAGAGCACAGATGCTCGCACGGCCAGTGGACATCTATAGCACAGACGCTCCATGGCCAGTGGACATCCAGAGCGCAGACGCCCCCACGGCCAGTGGACATCCAGAGCGCAGACGCCCCCACGGCCAGTGGACATCCACATCTGGGATCCACTTCCAAAGCCTCTAGAAGTAACACTCCAGGGAAGAGCATGTGATTGAGCATGGGAGATTCTCTTGGGGGGAAGAGCCTGCTGTTGAACATGGGGAAATTCTATATGGCTCTAAGGTGATTTTTTTTTTCTTACCCAAAGGTTTCATTCACAGTGAGAGCCACCAGAAGGGAAATAGGGTGAGCATGGGTTCTAAAGATGATGAAAAGGAATATTACCAGACCAAGATATTTCTATTAAACCCTTGGAAAATTCCCAGCGGACAAGAGGCACACATCAGCCAATGGCAGCATGTACGCGGCTGGGGCACCCTGCTGGGCATCTCCAGGAAACCCAACTTCAACACCCACTTTCTGTGCAGCCCTGGTAAATCCACATGGTGAACTTTCTCTTGAATCACAGAGTTTGCAACCAGGAAAAAACCCATCATCTTCTACTTTGTAACAGAGAATTAAGGACAACTGGGTGAAGAGGAGCCCAAGTGTTTCACTTGTACATCATATTTTCACAGCAACAAAGAATATACTCCAATGTTAAAATCAAGGAAACTGAAGAAGAAATGAAAGGGACAGGGGACAAGGTTTGGTCTACCATGAAGGAGGAATTTCATACGGATGGAAGAGGAAGTAAGCAAGCTCCTCAATTCCACACATATCCCAGGACAGGAGACAAAGCGTGGAAGGGTGCAGAGGACGTCACATGTGGCAGGATGACCCTGACAGTGACACTCACTCTGCATTCCAGGGCTGCTTGCTTTCCAAAAAGTAAGGTCCACATGTTTGATCATGTACTTAATTGAGTACAAGCTATTATTCTCTCAACCGAATGAAATTTGTGTGCACATTTTGAGTATCTAGCTCAAAAATAAGGGCCCGCATTGTGGGCGGAGCAGGTTAAGCTGCAGTCTCTGATGGTGGCGTCCAATATAAGTTCTGGTTTGAGTTCCAGCTGCTCCATTTCCAATCTAGCTCCCTGATAATGCGATTTGGAAAGTAGAGGAAGATAGTCCAAGTAGTTGGACCCCTGCCACCCACATAGGAGACCTGGATGGAGTTTCAGGCTCTTGGCTTTGGCCTGGCCCAGCTCTGGCTGTTGTGGCCATTTGGGAGTGAACCAGCAGATGAAAGATATCTGTCTGTCTCTATCTCATCCTCTGTCTGTAACTCTTTCCAAAAAAAAAATCTTAAAAAAAAAAAATCAAACAGGTAAAAGGAAAAGAGCAGGAGAAAAGAACAAAGCAAAACCAAAGATCATTTACTCCAAGAATCCGGGCTTGTGTTTATGCTCCACATGAGGTCCAAACTGTATCTGGGCTTGAAATCCACCAAACTCGCAAGCTTTCTCGAAGGAGACAGGGTGGGAGCCATTCAAGATGTCATCTCGAGCCTGAAATATAAAAGGGGGAAGAAGCATCAGGGGCTTGGGGCATATTTGTCCTCATGGACACATTTCCTGTGCCCGAGCACCAGTTCTCCCCGAGGCACGAACAGGCACCAGCCGGCCCACAGTGACTCACCCAGGATGCTGCAGGTGCATGGACCACAGCAGAATTAAGGCAAAAGGAAAGGAAGCCTGGCCCCAAATGACCTTCAGATGGGAAGCAGAGGGGGCGGGGGGGGGGTCTGGTTTATCAAAAGCAGAGCTAGACAAGAAGCTAGGAGACAGAAGCCATGACATAAACTAAAGGGCAAAAGGAAAATCCTGGGAAATGGTGGGACTCTGGCCAAAATAGAAACATAATGTACGAGGAATGCTCAGAAAGAGCAAAGTCAGCAGAAAAAAAATACCTAAAAGCAAAATAAACCCAACATCCATTCCAGAAAAATAGTAACATTAATTCAGAGAAAGACATGTGGATACACATAGAGAGACAAGAATTCAAGACTCAAGATGCTTAGGGGACAAGGGAGGCAAATGCACAGTCCTCAGATGGGGAGCTCAAGGTGGCCAAGCCCTCCTCCCAGTGCCCAGTCCATCCCTGCTGTTGCTACTCATCCATCTTTTTCCCATGGTTCCTTTCTGTAGTTCAACCACCCCCAGACCACCCTGAAATGCGCACTCTTGGCTATCACTCTAGGAACTGAACCAGTAAGCATTGTCTGAGTATCCCTCTTCCTCCTAGGTTCTCAACCCCTCCCTGCCTCGCCCCCTTTCCACGCTGTTCTTCCACCTGCTAACTCAGGAGTCGGCAAACTTCCCCTCTAAAAGGTCAAAGAAAAAAGTGTTTCAGACCTCCAGGGCCACGGAGTCTGCACTGCAACTCCTGGACTCTGCAACTGGAGCTTGAGAGCAGCCACAAAAACACATCAACAACTATGTAACAGGGTTACCAAAAGGGAAGACGGAAATGAATGAGTTGTTCCAATAAAACTATTTGCATATACAGGCAGAGGGCGTGGCTACAGTTTGCTGATCCTGCATTATTTTTATGGGCAGACAGACAAATGGAAGGAGAGGAAAGGGAAGAGAGGAAAGGAAAGGACGCAAGGAAAGTATCAAGGTGGGAAAAAGAGGGATGCTGTTTCCCTTGAGTAAACAAATATTCAGGGCAATTGTGTGCAAAATCCACATCTTTCACAGGGAGCAATTGCAATGTAGATATATTAAGTGAATCATCTGGGGTTCAGCAATTAGTTAAAAGTAAATATATCAAGGTTTCCCAAGAGGTGATCTTTCAGTAAGTGAGTGGTACTGATTTTCTGACCAATATCCTCTTGCATTCTAAGATGCTAGCCAAGAAAGCTTTAGTGTAGTTGTAATGGTGAACCACTTAAATGTCACACAATTGTCTCTCAAGGCCAGGCAGAGAGAGCACTGGCCATGGGCCCTGACCTGGGAAGCTAAGGGGAGGACAAGAGAGGGCCTGCTCTGGAGGGCCAGCAGCTGTTGTCCACTAGCAACCTGCAGCAGAACCAAAACACAAACGAGGAACCCTGGGCAGCACCTGCTGCAAACTGGACACCACAGAAGTGACAGAAGCCAGAGCTGGGCTCCTCCTGTCCACAAGCCACAGCCGGGCACTTCCTGAGCCGTCACCCACCTCAGCACCTGAGCAGGAAGTACCGTACCTGAACATAAAGCAAGTTCAGCTGCACAGGGTCTCTGGAATCTACGTTCTGATCGGAGTAAAAGAACTTCCGTCTAAGCAGCAATGTCTCGTTTTCATCTACTCCTTGTTCTCTGAATGTTCGGCTGTGATCCAGCCAGTTTACTGCAACACAACAAGACACATAGGAGAACTGTGTTCATTTTCCCTCTTAATTAAAGGGGTTTTAACAAAACAGCAGTGAATGCAGATGCAGAGAATGACTGCTTACATCAGAGCTGTGCTTTTCAAATAAGATTGATCAAAAGGGAAACAAAGGAAAAAAGTTCAAGTCATCTCTACAGTTGGCTGAAGCGCTACAATGAATCTGTAACATGGGCTTTCCCAGGGGGTGGGGTGGGGGAGGGAATAAGGACATCAGCTCCTCGTACTAAAAACAGATACAGGGTCCTCTTTGAAATCAACAGTAGATACTTTAGGGAGCAGGCGTTGTGGCACAGTGGGTTAAGCCACTGCTAGGGATGCCGACATGCCACTTCAGAGTACTGGTTCCAGACCAAGCTCCTCTGCTTCCAATCCAGCTTCCTGCTATTGTACCTGGGAAGGCAGTGGATGACGTCCTAAGTAGCAGGGTCCCTGTCACCCATGTGGGAGACCCAGGTGGAGTTCCCAGCTCCTGGTTTTGTCCTGGCCCAGCCCTGGCCATTGCAGGCATTTGGGGAAGAAACCAGTGGATGGAAAATCTCTGTCTCCCCTTCTCTGTCACTCTCTGCCTTCTAGATAGATAGATAGATGATACTTTTTAAAAAAATGAATAGAGACTTCAGTCACATCAAGTGAAGTCTTTTAGAGACATTGAGCAGAATGAGTCACCTATGACCCCAAGCAGAAAGGAGGAATAAAAAGTAAATTAGGGAGGTTGGAGGAGGGGGGAAATGGAATACAAAGGGCGGGGATGGCAGAACCCTGTCTACACCCAGCATGAGCACCTGTCCTCCCATGTAGGTGCATGGGAACTGGTCACAATCCTCTGCACATTGCACAGCTGCTCACCCCTGGGCTGTGGATGAGTGTTAGCATCCAGCTTCTGTAGACTGTTGGCAAGTACAGCACAAGGAACGCGAACCATGGACCTCACCACACACACATGAATGACTCTCTGGGCTCAACTGGAAATGCAATAGGGCAGAAATAACAGGGGCAAGGAGAGGGTCGGGGGAAGGACAGCCCCACTAAGAGCTATAAACACGACAGTCATGGCGTCCACCAGTGAGGGCCAGGCTGCAAGGTGTGCACAGCATGAGATGCGGAGACACGTAGGGTTACACAATGGCTTTTCCATATAGACAAAGTGGGGCTGTACAATGTGACCTTTCTGTACTAGCATTACATCACCATGTTTAACTGCTAGGGAAATTCTGAATCTAGGCCATGGACATCTATGGCTATTATTACCACTCAGCCCTCATCTCTGCCAAAGGCAATCAGACACAACTTGCTCATGGAAGCACACACCACCACTGTGCTATCTTTATTAAAAGACACAAAGGAGGGGCCAGCGTTCTGACATAGTGGGTTAAGTTGATGTCTGCAACACTGGCATCCATATCAGAGCACCAACTGGAGCCCCAGTTGCTCTGCTTCTAATCTAGCTCCCTGCTAATGTGCCTGGGGAAGCAGGAGAAGATGGCCCCAATGCTTGGGACTCTGCCACACTCATGGGAGACTCGAATGGAGTTCCAGGCTCCTGGCTTTGACTTGGTGCAGCCCTGGCTATTGTGGGCATTTGGGGATTGAACCAGTGAACAGAAGATCTCTCTCCGACTCTCCTTCTCTGTATCACTCTTGCTTTCAAAAGCATACATTTTTAAAAAAGAGATAAAACTCAAACAGATACACCTGAAGCTAACCAAGGTTCCAGATTTAAGGAATTGAAAGGACTGAGGAACATGTTAAATGACAACATAGGTATGCAATCCATAAAATCCATACTACTGTGGGAAATGGGATACAATTCACAATCTAGAGTCTTACACACACTGAATGGCGAGGCAAGAAAATAAAAGGAACCAGACTCTACTCAGTTAAGTGTAAAATGCCCTACTTTGTTCCCAGTTGAAAATATCAAAAATATTTTAGAAGGGGAGGCATATAGGGTAAAGCCACAGCCTGGAACTCTGGCATCCTGTATGGGTACTGGCTCAAGTCCTAGCTACTCCACTCCTGATCCAGCTCCCTGCTAATGATCTCAAAAAGCAGCAGAAAATGGCCCAAATTTGTGGGTCTCTACCACCCACATGGGAGACCCGGATGGAAGCTCCTGTCTCTTGGTTTTGGCCTGGCCCAGCGCTGGCTATTATGGACATCTGGGGAGTGAACCAGTAGATGGAAGATCTTGCTTACTCTCTCTCTCTCCTCTTCTCTCTAACTCTGACTTTCAAATAAATAAATCAATCTTTAAAAAAAGTTTAAAAATATTTTCGAAGCTAATAGAGAAAATGCTGAGATAATTTATATATTTGATACTAAGGGATTATTTTGTAGATGTGGACTGCTATTACAGTTACTTTTTATTTCTTTCAGAGTCTTCTGTCGTTCAGTGACAGAGACCAAAACACCCAAAGTTTAAAAAAAAAAAAGAAAAAACCTGCCCTGGGTCCTATAGGTGGTGGGCGGGGCCGAGGCTCAGCAAAGCCACGCCCCTAGCCATGTTTCTTGTGCAGGCACTTACGGTCATCATCTGTGTGGAGCTTGGCCTTCAACTTCTCCATTTTCCTCTCATCTCGTAACAGCGTCCTGTCTTTTTTGAGTGTACCCGTGCCTTCTTCTTTCTTCTCTTCGATAGTTTCTTGAATTAAAGAGTATTCTTCATAGTTTGTTATTCCTAGCAATGGAAATAAGGTGGTAATTCTAAATTATTAAATTTCTTCAACCCCGTTCAGCCTGGGATAGCCCTAGGGGTGAAGGGAGGCAATGGGGAGAAAGAGGCCTTAGTGATGCAGGGAGAGGTCAGGGAGGCCACCGGGCTAAGTCACTCTGGTGACGACCAAGGCTCTTGGGCTGCCTATGGCACCTTGAAAACAAGATCAAACAAGGAGCAACTGAGGAGCTGAGTTGGGCAAGGCCATTTCTTTCCACACTGGAAGGGCTTCTCTAGATAGGGAGTAGACTTGCTTTCCAGAATGACAGAAGCTACAGTAGGAAAAGCTGTCCATCACAACACCATCACCAGGAGTGACCAAGGAGATGGTGGACGTCAGTGATGCCGCAGGCAGCTTCAGCGCGGGGAGCCGGAGGAGGGTGTAATCACACAATTTCAGAACATGGCTTTCAATCTGAAACCCCTTTGTGTTGGAAAAGGAAAGGAAACTTCTCAGTTGTGACTCAGTGAGAAGTTCGCAGTTGTACATCAGAGTGAAGATCGGCACAGTAAAAGACCGGGCGCACGTGAGACATTTTCCAGATGCCCCGTGAGAGTGAGATCAAGAAGCACGTAACTAAAAACAGAGCAGTAGGCGTAACGGGGGCACGGGAATGCTCACCTATCCTGCTGCAAATGGTGACCAGGAGCTCGCCCACGGTCTTGGAGTCGTCCACCATCACCGTCTTCACAGACCCATCTAGCATGCGGATTTTTTGAGGTCTCTGCTTCTTTTTATATTCCAGAATATCCTGGAACACAATCACAGGCAAACCTCACGCTCTGTGTGCAAATGTAACAAAGTCTACAAAGTGAATCCCCAGCAACGGTGTTCCTTTCTTCCAAAACTTGTTTGAAAATCTTTCTCCCATTTCATGGGTTGCTGCCACTACCTTAATCATTGCTTTCATACAGATTTCTTTAAACATCTGATCATGCAACTGCTTGAAGCACACAATTAACTAAAAACTAACTTCTGTTCATTTTTCTGTAAAAAGGCCTACATGCCTTTGAAGAAACCGATATGGTGCATCTCCCATTTTACTATTGTCATAAGCAAATTCTCCTTCCTGCATGTGAAATATGAAGTACACTGTTTAAAAATTTGTAATCTGTATTTACGTAATGACACATAAAATACAATAATTCTTCATAAAGTGGTAGTGGTTTTCTTAAGAGTACGACAAAATACTTGCAATAGTAAGGTCAGATCAGATAAGATTGGGAGGTATTATTAAACAAGAGACTTTTTTTTTTTTTTAATTGCCTTTATAAGAATGAGGGGACTTTAGGCCAGCGCCACAGCTCAATAGGCTAATCCTCTGCCTTGTGGCTCCGGCACACAGGGTTCTAGTCCTGGTCGGGGTGCCGGATTCTGTACCGGTTGCCCCTCTTCCAGGCCAGCTCTCTGCTGTGGCCAGGGAGTACAGTGGAGGATGGCCCAAGTCCTTGGGTCCTGCACCCCATGGGAGACCAGGAGAAGCACCTGGCTACTGCCATCAGATCAGCGCTGTGCGCCGGCCGCAGCGCGCCAGCTGTGGCGGCCATTGGAGGGTGAACCAACAACAAAAGGAAGACCTTTCTCTCTGTCTCTCTCTCACACTGTCCACTCTGCCTGTCAAAAAAAAATATAAAGATGAGGGACTTTAACAGCTGGTGGAATTGATCAAAGGGGCAAAAATGGAAATCCAAGCACTTTTTTTTTTCATAATACACATTTTCCACAAACTTTTTGAAGAACCCCTTGCAGAAATGCAAAGGGAGGAATTACCTGATATCAGGTATTTCACCTTTGCTGTGTGGAATACTGACCAATCTGATAGGTCCACTCCATCTTATACATCAAAACTCCAGTAACCTGGAGGTTATATTGAAGAGAAAATTTAACTGTGTTGATTCTTCACTTCTCCCTACTTCATAAGACAACCATTTTCATGGGTGGCTGCTACTATGACTGATAGTCATTCAACTCACATTTACAACTTGAAATTTATTTTTCCCAAACAAAACACTGCTTAATATTCTGTCTCCAACAACCTTTAGAATTATGTTTTGTTTTCTCTCTATTCTTACTTTCTATCACCAGACACACAGATGCCTCCCACACAAAGATTCTGGATCGTATCTCACAACTACAGAGCCCAACAACATGCAGAAACTGCTTCAAATGCTAACTTCAGGGGCAGGCATTTGGTCTAGCGGTTAAGACACCACTTGGGATACCTACATCCTACATGGGAGTGTCTGAGTTCAGTCTCAGGTCCATTCCTGCTGCCAGCTTCCTGCTAAGGCACATCCTGGGAAAAGCAGTCGATGGCTCAAGTACTTGGGTCCCTGCCATCCATGTTGGAGACCCGGATTGAGTTCCAGGCTCCTAGTTTCAGCCTGGACCAGCCATAGCTGTTGCAGGCACTTGAGGAGTGCACCAGAGATGGGAAATCTGTTTCTCCGCCTTTTTTTTTTTTTTTTTTTTTTTACAGGCAGAGTTAGACAGTGAGAGAGAGACAGAGAGAGAGTTATAGAGAGACAGAGAGAAAGGTCTTCTTTCCGTTGGTTCACTCCCCTAATGGCCACAATAGCCGGCGCTGCGCCAATCCAAAGCCAGGAGCCAGGTACTTCCCCCTGGTCTCCCATGCGGGTACAGGGACCCAAGCAACTGGGCCATCCTCCACTGCCCTCCCGGGCCACAGCAGTGAGCTGGACTGGAAGAGGAGCAACCGGGACTAGTACCTGGCGCCCCAACTGGGACTAGAACCCGGGGTGCCGGCGCCGCAGGCAGAGGATTAGCCAAGTGAGCTACAGCGCCAGCCTGTCTCTCTGCTTTTCAAATAAACACAAGTCCAGGAAAGAAAACCCTTGAGAAAACCTGTCTCTCTGCTTTTCAAATAAACACAAGTCCAGGAAAGAAAACCCTTGAGAAAACAGACTGAGACAAAAGACCTCTTAGCCTGTAGGACTCAAAGCTCTGCTCCTGACCTTTGAAGTGATTAAAGGGATCTTCAAATTCCTAAATGCACCATGCATTGTCCACAAACCTCATTAAAAAAGAAACACAAGGCCGGCGCCGCGGCTCAATAGGCTAATCCTCCGCCTAGCGGCGCCGGCACACCGGGTTCTAGTCCTGGTCGGGGCGCCGGATTCTGTCCCGGTTGCCCCTCTTCCAGGCCAGCCCTCTGCTGTGGCCAGGGAGTGCAGTGGAGGATGGCCCAGGTGCTTGGGCCCTGCACCCCATGGGAGACCAGGAAAAGCACCTGGCTCCTGGCTCCTGCCATCGGATCAGCGCAGTGCGCCGGCCGCAGCGCGCCGGCCGCGGCGGCCATTGGAGGGTGAACCAACGGCAAAGGAAGACCTTTCTCTCTGTCTCTCTCTCTCTCACTGTCCACTCTGCCTATCAAAAAATTAAAAAAAAAAAAAAAAAAAAAGAAACACACACACACACATCCCAACCCCAAATGTGTCAATCCCTCTGGGGAATTCTAAGTATCTGAGTTGCTTACATCTTCTGTCCCCACCTGGACAGTGCTTACTGTACAAAGCACATTACATGGAAAATATTAGTAAGATGTTCTTGACCCAAAACAGCATAAAAATGTTGGCGTGTATGGAAGACTCAGCGGCGAGGAGACAAGAAAACAGAAACGCAATCAGCAGCATACCCCGTTTCGCAACATGTAGTAATCCAGTGTTCTGCCCGCTTCCAGCCATATCCCCTTCCTGGGGTCTTCATCCGAAAGAAACAGCCCATAGTCAGAAGCTGGAACATAAACAGAAAGAAGCAGAGAAGATACAGTGGGGATGAAGCCAGCACTGAGTAGCAAGCCCTGAGCCTGCTTACTCGGCAGGGTTGTGAGTGTCCTTCTCCAGACAGAAAGGTTTCATTCTGACAATGTAGCTGACCACTGGGGCTGAGGCTAAGAGTCGAGCTGCAGACACACCCACAAACAAGGCTCATGTGTCTAAAAAGCCATGGGCCATAGCTCTGTCTACAGCACAAGGAAACATCAAGAGCAATGCAGCTCAAACTTCTTTCTCACTGAAGGTGATTTGTTCTTCCTTCCTTGCTGGGAAAACCAGGCAAGACTCCTTGAAGAATGACAAGATGGCATGGAGAAACTAAGGAAGGTGTCACCCAAGTCCAAGGCCACTGAGGCAAAGGGGGATAGGTTACACCTGTGGATCCCTCCATCATCCCAGCACAGCATCACACAGGACAGGTACAGTCCCTGCCCCCATGACCACCAAATTGTGGAAAAGCCTAGAAAATTAAGTTTCATGTCCTCCCCAGAACTCCTGAATCTGGCCTAGGAAGTATAAAAGGCAGGGGCGGCTGGCAGGAGGGGAGCAGCATCAGGTGGTATCCAAGGACTTGTATGCAATTCATGGGCACCTAAGGGACCCAGAGCACACTCAGAGCTCCTGCTGTTTCTCAGGAAAAATGACTCCAAGGTCTTCAAATTCTCTACCTTCGAACTGGAGCCGTACAGCAATGCAGCCCTAAGAAAACTGACAAATCAGAGAGAAACAACAACAAAGGGACTGAAAACTAAAGGCAGCGAACTGATATGCCACCAAATCTTGGGACAAGGTTGGGAGGTAAGCAAAATTTATTTCTGGGTAATCTCAAAATAACACAGCATTAAGAAACTATACATAATGCTTTCCAAACAAAGGACCTAAGTGTTTTCTGAAAAGTAGGTCTTTTTAAAGACACCCATTTCGACGTACAGTGAGCCCTGATGGGATGTTTCACTTTGACCTTTGCAATTTTTGAAGGCAAGTTTTATCCCACGTTGATACTAACAGCTGTCCTGTTGGGAATGATCCCAATTTCTCAACTATCAGTCAAATAAACATTAAGTAAAGCAGGGAAATGTAGAGAGAGGACAAAGGAAAGGGAAAATAAAATGACATGAATGTCTTTTATTTAAACTCAGATTAATGGGGGCCTGTAGTTTGCATATCAAACAAATGCCTCCCCAACCCTTTTAATGACTTTGAGGGAGAAGTTTGTAAGGCTCCTTTATGGGCTTGAACCAGAAGCCTTGCCCTGGGTCCTAACAGCTGTGGCAGGTGTACATGCGTGCACAACAGGGCTCAGGATACACGCAGCCAGCAACTCTGAGAGCAGCTTCATTCATACTCTACTGGGCAAATGCACTGATATATCCAAAAGTGGTTTGCCAGCTGCACAGCGTGGGAGGGCCAAGATGCTGGGTGTGGAGATGATGGTAACCCAGAGGTGGTCATTATCATCACATTCTTTATCCAGGGAACAAAGTGTGTTCCGTCTCAGATGTTACTCCACTTAAAACATGCACACTCATGGGCAAGTGCACCACTCAGGCCTCTGTTTCTTTAGCTAAAAGGTAAAGAACTGAGAAACACATTTTAAGAAGCCAATGCATCAGCAACTACTCACCTTGCCCAGTCTGTGCCTCAGGGACCCGTTCCCGGATAACTCGACACGCATCATACACAGCGGTTGATGGCTCAAACTGCATGGTCTTCACCACATTACAGTGGCGGACACAGATCTTTAAGGACAGGGCCACCATCTTCCTCGATGATTGGAAGGGTCTCAATTAAAATTTCTGGAAAACAAAAAGGCAAATTATAATTATTTCAACTTGGGTAGGGGGAGAATGCTCAACTCTCAAGTCAACTTAAAAATCAAAAGAGTTCTTTCTACCATCTTCCCATGTTACCGTAACAGTGCAGATGAATGCCAAAAAGAGAGGCCAGCACCACTTTTTTAAAAAATTAATTTATTTGAAATGCAGTTACAGAGAGATCTTCTACCCGCAGGTTCACTCCCCAAATAGCACCAATGGCCAGGGCTGGGCCAGGCCAAAGCCAGGAGCCTGGAATTCCATCTGAGTTTCCTACATGCATGGCAGAGGCCCAAATACTTGGGTTATCATCCAACACTCTCCCAGGTAAATTAGCAGGGAGCTGGACTGGAAGTGAAGCAGCCAGGACTCGAACCAGTGCTCCTACGGGATGCCTGTGTTGCCAGGGTCATTTGGCTCCTGCTCCAAAGTCACTGACAGGTCTCTAACTGTGAGGATGAAGCATGGTCACACTGGTGAATCTGAAATCATTGATGATCACAGAGCTGGGAAAACTGTGAACTTCACAAGTAGGTTAAATAAGCATGGAGTGATTGGCCCCAGATTTGACATGCAACTGAAAGATCCAGAAAAATACCAGAGCCCTCTGCTCACGCTTGGCCAGCTTGGTTCTCCTATAATGACCACCTCGGCTGGCTCCACAGGCCACAAAGATGCAAGAGGAGGCGAGACTCTGGCTTCTGTCTTTTAGAGATGCCCCATGAATAAAAAGCCTCAACAGACTCTGCTTCCAACAGAAAAGACATCAAGAGCATAAAACAACAACTAAACAGATCATTTTTACTACTGCAAAGTTGGTTGTTTTTTTAAAGATTTATTTTTTTATTTGAGAGGCAGAGTTACATACAGAGAGAGGAAGAGACAGAGAGAGAGGTCTTCCATTAGCTGGCTCACTCCCCAAACGGCTGCAATAGCCAGGCTAGGCCAGGCCAAAGCCAGGAGAAAGGAACCAGGAACTTCATCCAGGTCTCCTCCATGGGTGCAGGGGCCCGAGCACCTGGGCCATCTTCTAATGATTTCCCAGGCCATAAGCAGAGAGCTAGAGCGGAAGAGGAACAGCTGGGACACAAACTGGCATATTGATGAGAGGCTGGCACTGCAGGAGGAGGCTTAACCTACTATGCCACTGGCACTGGTCCCTATAGCACAGTTTTAAAAATTGGCTTTGACAGTGGAGGATGGCCCAAGTGCTTGGGCCCCTGTACCCACATGGGAGACCAGGAGGAAGCACCCGGCTCCTGGCTTCAGATCGGCATAGCTCCAGCCATAGCGGCCATTTGGGGGGTGAGCCAACAGAAGGAAGACCTTTCTCTCTGTCTCTCCCTCTCACTGTCTGTAACTCTACCTCTCAAATAAATAAATAAAATCTTTATAAACAATTGGCTTTGAAAAATTCGAAGAGTGACAACAACAGTCACGTATCACAGAATATATCACAGGTGATAAGTAGACTCCCGTAGGAGGAAAGAGCCACAGATGTTTGGCAGGCCTCCCTCTCAACAGCTCTCCCTACTTGGGGTTTCCCAAGAGTGGAATTCCCAAGTTAATGTAATCAAGGACACAGGCAGAGAGCCTTAGACAGCCCCGGCTGTCTTGTTAAGTAAGATGCCTCTGTCAGCAGCCTCTGTGTCCCAGGGTCCCAGCTCCCAGGAACAGGGCAGGTTCATGGATGCCCACTTGGGTGCTCTTCATGGCAACAGAGCTCGATCATTCCCCAGAAGCCCTACCTTCCAGGCCCTGCTCCATCGTTAGGGACCTGTGTCAACTTGAGCAAGTCACTGTGGCCACTCTGTGCCGCAATTTCTCTACAAATCGAGGCACTGTAGTTGACATCAGCCCCGCAAAACTCATAAAAGAGAGCCCCGAGGGGAGTCAAGGGCAGGCCAAGGCCCAGCCACAGTGGTCAGCCTCAAACTCCACGTGGGCCATACAGCTTCACAATTCTGAGGCCTCGAGGCAAATAAAACATCAACTCGGTTCTGACTGCATTCGGATAAATCACTGGGATATTTTTGCTTCTTACCAATCAGTGGTTTGAGAAAACATGAGGTCAGGATAGCTTTGAATTCACAATCGCCTTCTTTTTTAAATAAGTCCAACAATTTCACGCTTCTTCTTGCAGTTGGTGGCCCTGCTCTATTCTGCAGTCAGAAACAGTGCCTGCTGCCACTCCTGCCAGTTTCTGTCAAATAAATGTATGCCCTGGGCACAAGACAGAGGCAGAGAAAAAAAAAATACCTCTGTTACAAACATCTTTTTTCCTTGTGCCTGGAGAACCATGCAGATTTACTGGGCTGTCATCCCAGCCAACACAACGCAGCCCATTACAGTCAGGCAGGGGCTAACACACTGCATGGGCAGCAGGAGTCACATAACTCCACAGCAGTTCCACACTTACACTCCCATCTGGTCTTTCACTAGAGAGCTGCAGGGAGCAAACCTGGACTCCAAGTCCCAGAGGTTTCTTTCCCACTGGAGGAGGCAAGTGCAAGAAGCACTGAGATGGCCAAGGGCAAAGAGGACCACAGGCTGCCCGGCTGTGATGACCAGGAAGGTGCTGTCTCAGCAGGCTTGATCCACTGGCTTCCTAACTACCCAACTGGGTCCCGTGGTGCAGGGAATGTTTTCATCATGATTTTTAATTTGTATTTCTTTGGGAAGGAGGGAGGGGGAAGGAGAGAGAGAGACAGGGAGGGAGGGAGATAGGGAGAGAGGAGGAGGAAGAGAAGGAAGGAAAGAGGGAGGAAGGGAGGGAGAGAGAGAGATACAGACACAGGGAGAGAGCTCTCATCCACTGATTCACTCCCCAAATGCCTGCAACAGCTGAGACTTGGCCAAGCCAAAGCTGAGAGCCAGGAACTCCAATCCAAGTTTCTCCCACATGAGAGGCAAGAACCCTATTACCTGAGCCTCACCTCTGCCTCCCAGGGTCTGCATTAGCCAGAAGCTAGAGCCGAGAATCGAACCCAGGTACTCCAATACAGGACACGGGCATCTTAACCAGCACCTTAAGAGCTAGGCCAAACATACATCCCCTGAGGGTGTTTTTAAACAGATGCCCGAGTGTGTCTGGGCACAGTTTACACAAGTCTCACGAAGCAACCACTCATGCATCCCACTGTAAGTTCACTCTGACCTCTGCTTCCATTTGGAATGGATTTTGCCCGTGAAAATATTTCTTTTTTGAGAAATGTCAAGATACACTCCTCAACAAACAACAGCCAAATGCATGAGAAATCTGCCAAGACAGAATGAATTTCTTATAGCCTGGGCAGAAGCTGGACTGCTGGCATGGCAGAGGGGTCCAACTACTTGACAATTTTCCACCTGCAAGAGTAAAGACTAATTTAAAGCTCTCCCACCCCTCTGTGTTATTTGTTTGTTACAGGGATAGTGAACCAATGAACTCCCCAGTTTTGAGAAATCAAATTTGCATTCTAGAGATAAGAGGTCTGATTTGCTGTGATGGAGAATACCTCCAACCTGGGGCTGGTGACAAGGGCAGGGTTTCCTTTAGCCCTGAAACCCACAGACATGGTTGGTGGGGGATGGTCAGTGGGGAGGACCCTGGCTCAGTGTTGCCATGGATATTGTTTATGCAAAGCACCAGAAAGGAGGGGGTGATTCATCCCTTCTGCTCTCTGACAAAAGTGTTCCAGTTGGCGCTGCCAGAGGGCTGCCCTGCCCAGGCTGGAAACTGCACTATCTCAAGAGCGAATGAGTGTTCCCCTCTGGCTATTCAGGGAGCATCCATCAATGGGAGACACAGAGCTGTGACCGGGGCCCCTGGAGCCTAATGGAATAGCAGGACCTAATACCAGAGCTCAGAAGCAGAAGACACACAGAGTGTAGAGACAGACAGATGGAGCAACAGAGTGGGGAGAAACAGGGAGCCTGCAGGAAACTTGCAGAGAGGTCAGAAGGAAAAATCTCTGCCCAAAACAACTGGGAACATGGATTTGGGATGAGCTTGTTTGTGATGTATTCAATGGAAAGGAGTGGTGGATAGTTGAGAGCAACCTGGAGATATAACCTGGGAGGGAGGGACTAGAAAGGCCACACAGGGAGGAAGAGAGATTCAGGATCTGACCCGAGGACCGGGTTCTGGAACAGTGGCACTGAATCAGCAAGAGGAGGAGGAACTGGTAGAGGGAGCCTGGGGAAGGCAGGAGAGGAGGACAGCCAGAGTCCACAAGAGTGTGCACCGAGCAGAAGGGAGAGAGGCAGCATAGTAACTGCTCACAGTTCACATGCCACAGACACAATGGGGTCTGGCCACCTGGAGGTTGCTGTCAGTGCATGCAAGAGAGTCTTCAAAGGGCAGCTGGAGCTGCTGATTCAGGAGAGAGGCGGAGGAGGGGCTGCCGCAGCAGATAAGGAGTGGTTGTCTGAGCAGGTCTGCTGGGAAGAGGGTAGAGCAACAGGAGGGAGTTCTGAATGAGGCTTTTAGGATTTGAGATCCTAAGGTCTGAGCTCACACATTGCATATCTGCTGGGCATTCCACAGGAACTCATTTACACAGACATGGGTTCCACCTTACTGTGGCTCTAGGCTCAGTCTCAGGACAAGTGTGCACCCTTCCTCACCACACATGATCTCCACCCAGAGCCTGGCCCATGGTGCTGGTGGACGGTTGATGGGTGGGCAGGTCTTGGTCCTTGCAAAGGACCAAAGAGTCTGAGGTTCAGGTTCAATTCCAGGACTATTCATGCTTGGATTTCTGCACCAGTTACTTTCCCTCTCCCATCTTCCAGAGAGCAGCAGTCAGCTCCTATGCAAGGATGTTCCTGGAGGAGACTCAATGTGTGGCCAACTCTTCTCATTAGATCCCTCTGTTTCCTCCTCTTAACAGTGCATAAAGAGGCCATGCAACAGAGGCAAATGTCTTAGTTCAAGGCAGATGTTCAAGAGAAACTGTGACATTTGTGTTCTCAACTTTTCTATCACCCCAAACAACTCC